ACACATCCACAAAGACCTCTGATAGCTTTAGGTGCAACCTCCGACATATATGTAGGACCAATAGTGGTAGTTTGTCCAATAGCAAGTCCTTCAATTAATCTCCCAGCATACAACTGGCCAACATTTCTTGAAGTAATTTGGATAATTGCAGCTGCGATCCATAAAACGCAAGCTGCTTGTAAAGATCTAATTCTACCAAATCTATCAACAACAAACATAGCAATAATACAACCACCAATAGAACCTAATTGAACCATGGCTGTAATATTAGATTTCAAGTTTGCAACATCATCTTCAGACTTATTCGGATCGTTAAAACCAAAATAATTTTGAAATGAAACTTGCGCAACTGACCCAGAGATATTACCTTCATCATAACCTCTAGCTGATCCTAAGATACCGAAAACAAAGACTGAAAGAAACAAAGTCCAGTTAAAGATTTCAGGTGGAGCATGGTCGTCTTTTATCTTCCATCTAAATTTAGACGTCCATGAATCTTGGGAATGATGCTTGGTGGCTGTAGAATGTGGATGCTCGATAATCTGTTCTTCAGTATTTGCTTTTGACACTTCTGCCAAGTCCTTTTGCTCATGCAGCATTGTAACTTAATTTCCTTAGTCCCTTTGTTATTTGATTTTTATAAAAATAATATTTACCAAGATATTATACTATATTATATAGGAATTTGTATAATGAAAACGGTAAAAGTAGGAAGTATTTTTATACTTTGATTACCCGTTGATTCTTACTATACTATGAACAAATTTTAAATAGGGATTCCATAACTTTATATAGATATGAGAACAAAAATTTTAACACCCCGTTGCCCCACATCGCTTTCCATATAGTCGCTTCAAAACTATACATCTAATGGCTTAATTTTGGGTGAATAGTGAAAGAGATTCCCCCAAATTCTGCCTTTTTTTTTTGACTTGCATATCTGCGCATTCAAACCATCAAGGATCCCCGCGGTACGACACCAATCAAACCTTATTATATTATTCAGCTACTTTATCATCACGTGTAATTTCTTTTTTATAATGAAATAACTGCATGAACCCCATTGAACACCCGGAGTTATTAGGACTAACCGAAGATTTTGGCACTCTACGAGATTTAGTGCGGGTAGGATTTGTTACCCCTACGACCAGCACCAACAGATACATAATTAGCGAACGAGAGCTGTAATTGTCGCGTGGTCGTATTTGAAATAAATCTTGTCCTTATGGTTTGTTGAAACTATTCGGATTAGCCTTGTGGCAATTGGAAAAAATATCTTCTGACGCATAATCGGATAATAAATGTTGTAGTAGCGATGAGATGAGCTCATTTTTTAGCCATTTTATTCAAAACAAGTATTATAACAGACTCTGATTCTCCCATAACAAATTGCCTGATGAAGTTATCATCAATTTACATTGGGACATTCTATTTCCGTTATCTCAATCCCCCCACACCAATGGTTCAAAATCTCGGTACAACTCCAGTAAAGGAACCCGATATCTACCGCCCCGCGGGATTTCTCCGGTTGCGAAATTACCCCCACCAAGAGAGCATACGGCTTGGGTTTTCTTTGCATGTAGACAAGAAAACCGATATTACATTTAAAACTGGAATTTTGTTGCTGATGAAAAAGTATGGCATCATCATTAAAACTAATAAAATTTTGTTCTATATAATAATGCCAATTAAAAAATTGCATTATTCAATTATAGAGACACTGGTAGAGATAAGGTGCAATTCTTATTTAAACAAGACTTATTCATTTATCCTTGATTGAATGCTTATCATCTTCATCAATCGAACCCTTTCTCATAAGTCCATTATCTTCGATAAACTCTTGCGATACCTTAGATCTTTCTAAATCATAATTAATTTCACCATCGTAGGCATTACCATGTCCATCATCATTATGGGTTATCTTATTAATTTCAGAGTAATCTGGACATAATTCTGCTCCCTTTCTTCCAATAAGATACCATGGTAAATTGAAGATTTCTTCCATACTTTCCAAAGAACGGCCAGCAACTTCCGGAATAAAGAACCATGCCCAGACCAAAGAGACAAGCATAACAGCGAAAAAGAAGTAGAACGCACCATAATTGTTCATAGAAATCATCATCTTAGGTAATGCCTTTGAATTACCATATTGATTAGCGAAATGTAAAACCATGATTGCAGACTGAGCGAACGAACGAATGTTCAATGGGAAAATTTCTGAACCTAATAAGTANTGAATTGAATTGAAACCCATAGTCCAACCTGCTCCTGACAAGAATAATGCAGCCATAGCTCCCTTTCCGGCTCTTTCTTTTGATCCAGTCAAATTGACATCATCATTGCCAGCTTCAGGAACAATTGTTAAAAATATAGCGAAATACAAAATCGAAAGCAATTGGATCATAATACCAATGTAGAGTGCCTTTCTTCTACCTAAGAAATCAATAATAAAGAACGCACTCAAATAAGCAGATACAAACTTGACAACACCTAAAATAGCAGTCATCTTCAATTCCTCTATACCAACTGCTCCAATTAATGAAAAAAGTTCTGGGGCATAAATTGTTACAGCATTTGCACCGGACCATTGACCNAAAATCTGTGTCAATGAAGCAACAGCAAAAAATCTATATCTGATCGACTTAACGCAGAATATTTCTTTAATCATAGCGAATATGGTATTTCCTCGAGTAGCTTCGTTCTCAGCATTGATTTGTTCGTTAATATCGGAGATTTCACCCAAAANATATGGNTGNTCTGTAGGTAAATTTCTTAACTTTGATAAATTCTTTGCTGCTTTATCTGGCTTATTAACCTTCAATAGCCATCTTGGACTTTCAACACAGAAAACGAACGATCCAATCAATATTAAGCCTGCTAATGGGATCTTAATAGAAGTAGGGACAATCCATTGCTGATTTGANTCTGGTGACATATGCAANGCTGNCCCATAATTTGCAAAATATGNNATCATNATACCNANNTANACAGCACCNGCAAANACACATCCACAAAGACCTCTGATAGCTTTAGGTGCAACCTCCGACATATATGTAGGACCAATAGTGGTAGTTTGTCCAATAGCAAGTCCTTCAATTAATCTCCCAGCATACAACTGGCCAACGTTCTCTGAGGTAATTTGGATAATTGCACCTGCAATCCATAACAAGCAAGCTGCTTGTAAAGACCTAACCCTACCAAGTTTATCAACTGCATACATAGCAATAAGAGCTCCACCAATGGATCCCAATTGGACCATGGCTTTAATATTCGAGCTTAGTTCTGCGATGTCATCCACCGTTTTATTTGGATCATTGAATCCAAAACGTTCTTTGAACGAAAGTTGGGAAACTGCAGTTGAAATACAACCTTCATCATAACCTCTTGCGGCACCAAGAATACCAAATACAGTGACCGAAAGGAACAAACTCCAATTATAGATCTCTTTAGGCGCATGATCATCTTGTACCTTCCATCTAAACTTAGACGTCCAACGATCCTGAGAATGATCCTTAGTTGCGGTCGAATGTTCATGTTTTGAATGCTCTACTTCTCTAGATTCAACTGATTGGATATCTTGTTTTGGTTGGCTGATCAGAACCATCTTTTCTTGCTCCATGTTGACTAAGAATATAT